GATGCCTTTCATGACTTTATATTACAAATTCAGCAGCCAATCAAAATGCAGCACGTAATAAGAATATATAACATACACATGTTGTTATTTATCCTAATCTTTAACACACTAACAAACTATTATTCACAGAAATTACTCAAACTGTAAAAACAACACATTTTACATGAAGTTTTCAACTCCTTTGAATAAATGGCTCTTACAATTAAAAAGTTTAATTTGAAACATTAAAACATCTTTCAGTTGGATCAATGTTTTTCACAGTTCAGAGTCTTTAAAAGTTTTGTTTTGTTTCTAAACTTACACGTTTTATTCTTTATTCAGATTAAGGAGGTGCAGTTTGTCAGAGACCAGCTGTTCTTTTCTGAGTTCAGCCCTGAAGTCCAACCCCTCCCATCTGACAGAACTGGACCTGAGTGTGAACAAGCTGCAGGATTCAGGAGTGAAGCAGCTGTGTGATTTTCTGGAGAGTCCACGATGTAGACTGGAGACTCTGAGGTCAGACATGTTTATCACCTGCTGATGGAGGAGGAGGGACAATGTTGTTGATGTGTGTGTGTGTGTGTGTGTGTGTGGGGGGTTTCTATCAGTAAAAGTTATCATATCATAAAAATCTCTAACAAAACTTTAGGAAAATAATCATTGAATATGTCTCTACTGATTTATTTTTATAGTCAACCAGATTCAAGATGGCCGCCACAGCCATCTGACTTAAGGAAACAGCAACATGACTATAACTCAGCCAGTTTGACAGATGTTGAGCTGACAGTTGTTGTGGTAGTAGCTGAGCATCATACTCAACACATACTTTGAGTGAAACACGTTGTGCAACATTTTTGTCTAAAACCTTGATATAATTTGTTGGAGTCAGTCCTGTTTGTCTGTTAGCAAAATATCTCATAAACCACTGAACAGATTTCAAAGAAACTTTCAACAATTAATCTTTGGATTAATTGTTGAAACTGATTACTGTTTGGAGTCTACGTCATTCAAGATGGCTGCTGCAGCTAATTGACCTCAGCCAACACAGAAGTGTCTTTACCTCAGTGAGTTTTACAGACACTGAGCTAAATGTGGTGTGGTAGTAGCTGAGAGTCATTCACAACATTCTTCAAGAGATAAGTAATCATGTCAGATTGTTCAAGATATCACAATATCTCTGGAGATTGAACATGGACTTTTTTTCAAGGTTTGATCAAAACATCTTTCAGTTGGATCAAAGTTTTTCAGAGTTCAGAGTTTTTTAAAGTTTTGT